TATTCTCCAAAGCTGACATGGGTCAAGCATAGTATAGTGAAGAAAATATTTGCTCATGAGTCCATGCGATAGATGTTTGAATCTCCTTTGGCGCATAGATGAACAGGCGCACTTTCTCGCACAATGCCGGATCGCCCACTTTCTCGGCAACAGCAGCGATATCCTCTTGGAGGGCTCGACTTCTTCAAAGAGCGAGCTCGTGAACATTCTGATCCGGAATTAGTATTTCCTGGATTCCAACTCACGTAGCATACCGCTGGAGGAGACTCTTGCCTCCAAAAGGCTGAGCCATAAAGAGATCCATAACTCCACGTATCATGGCCATGGGATTGCTAATCTTCAATATTCCCTTGAGCATAAAATAGGGCATCAGACCGTGGAATCGTTTTAGAGCAGCAAGCGTCCCAGAGGCATCGTCGGATGCGACAAAGCTTTGAAAGATAGTCGAGGCCAGACTGTAAAAGCGAGTCAGGTTATGAACTACCAGGGAAATAAAACGCACGTAATCCGACCCCACTCGAGGACAGCACGATAATTCGGTGGCAAGTCTTTGGCGAGTGGCGTATTCTTGACGGTCGAGAAGATGTTGACAAGTCCATCTACACTCATCAGTTCACGCTCCTATACAAAAAGTCGGACTTACTTTTCCCATCATATCACTCTTCACACTCCTAACAGCGTCGCGAAGACCATCCACCCTGGCCGCAACCTCGCTCGCAAACTTTTACGTCCTCTCTAATCCTATCAGCGTCTTCACGCCCTACGTGCATCCTCTACTTCCTCGGAGTAAGCTCCGTTGGATCCGAGAGCAAAAACGATTTGAGGACGGGCGAATTCGCAACATGCAGATGACAATAATAGACCATGCAAGTACGAGCGAAGCGTCACACGGTTCTTTTCACGTGCTAAAGAAGACTCGGTGACGCTCGAAGCGGATGGACGCGCGCCTCCATTCGTTAGGTCATCTGTACTTGAAGCCATGGTATCCGAGCGAGTAAGTGTCGTATGGATTGAGAGATGCCATATTAGCTCCTGGTATCGAGTTGGGTTGTTGCTGCTGCTGTTGAGGCGCAATGGCCACAGTCCTACGGTCCTTGGGCGGCGGTCCACGAATCTCAAACTCTGGGAACGCCTTGCGAAGCTGCACAGGAATCAGTCTCGTTGCACACAAACTTTGACGGAAACAAACTCTTCTGCCAATGTCTTAAAATCTCCATAACGTCTAGAGACGAGCGTATCCGCCCAACCCGTTCTACGCGTACGAATGATAAACTCTTCATGCACACGACTGCGCATACGACCCTTTTCCACCACAGTACGCACGCATATAATATTGACATCAAACGCATCACGCGCATATTTCATACGCGCATTCCGCTTTCTCGCCAAGATCTCCAGACGGTCCAGATCCCTCTGGGATAGACGTACGACCTCCTCTTGCTCAACCAACTTGATCGCCGATCCGACGATGAGCGAAAAGTACTTTTCCGCTTTGGCGACGATCTTCTGCCGCGAGCGCACCTCGGGATCCTCTCCTTGGAAGTTTGGATCGTCCATCCCGAGCACATCATCCGTCGTGCTCAAATTGCGCGCCATCAAAGATCCAACAAATGGCTGAACTTTGCTGGGAAAGAAGTCCTTTGGTGCAGAGGTGATAAAGGGGAACGTGAGGACGAATTGGCGGAACATGAAGCGCAGGAATGGGACATCATGTCGGGCTGCATTACGTGGTGGAGGTGTAAACGGTGGGCCTAGATATGACAATGGGGAGAGTGTAGGGATCGACGGATCCATATCCGTAAAGCCAAGCAGTTCCTTGGAGAACTGGAGCGTGACGAGCGATTTCTTAAGATAGTGCGCTCGCAGCGGTGTCAACGTAATTAGGTCGTTTGGTTGCGTAATATTATTCATATTCTTCGATGTGTTTTCTTGGACCGTTTCGTTTGCCTTTTTGCCGTGGGCGTTGGGTCCTACGTCAGCTACCGGCGAGTCGTGCAGCGTGTTGAGCGTCGCTTGAGTGCCTTCGTGTACATTGTGAATAGAAGGAGACGTATGTGAGCCGAGAATAGACGGTGGAGCGTCTGCGCTCGTCGCAAGTGGTGCCAAAATTGGCCTTGTTGCGTCGTTTGTCGTCGTCGCAAGTGGTGCCAAAATTGGCCTTGTTGCGTCGTTTGTCGTCGTCGCAGTGTTCTCCAGAGGATGTTCTTGCGCGTCTTCGTAGATTGTTGATGCGGGCGATGGTTTCAAGTCACTCGTAATCATCCCAGAAGACGCGCCGAGTGGCTGCGAGGTGGCAGTGACCAACGTGTCACCCCTATTTACCCTCGCAAATAGTACAAAAGTAAAAATCGGTATATCGCCACTGGCAGCCCATACATACAGGCGAGGACATCTAATCCAAAGAAAAAAAAAGGTATAATCATTACACTCTCCGCCCATTCGCTGGCCGGTACGGATTCCGAGACTGATACCGCTCGTCGTCTGTCGTTCGGCGAGTATTGCTCTCGCTCCTCTGTGCACGCCCTTGTCCTTGTGCACTCGAGCGTCCTCGGTCAGCTCCAGATCCAGAACGCGTCAAATCGGGCGTCGCCCGCGTTTGCGAAGGTTGTCTACGAACATCTGGAGCACGTGTCGTACTCGTCTCTCTGCGCACTCTAGTCGCAGGCTGAGCTGATCCACTCCTCTGTCCACGCGAGCTGTTCTGGCGGACGGCTGGTCGCGATGGTCGTTCATCGTCTGTTGTGTTTCGCTCCCTTCGGGCCTGTTGACGAGCTATTTCCGCTCTTTCGCGTTGAGAGGGCTGACGCTTTGGTTCGGTGTTGCCCCTTTCCTCTTTGCGTTCCGTCATCTTGGCCGCGATCGGTGCCAACGGTGGCTTGGCTTTCGTCTCGCCTGACGTGCTCACCATGTACTGTCTGGGTTTGAGCGGCGTCGTGTTTGCGCGTGCAACTGGAGGTGGCTTGGCAATCAGGTCCTTCCTCTCGCCAAATTCGTCGATATCGCTCGTATCCTTGGCTCTCCTCCTGTCCTTGCTCGGCATCTTGTCCTTGACAGTGTCTCTGACACGTTCAGAGATACTTGCTGCGTCAAACTTGAACGCCTTCTTGTGTCCGGATCCCTTTTCCTTTTCGTCATCCCACTTTTCGTACGATCGCTTCTTGTCCTTGTGCGAGTTGCGGTGAGAAATGGGTGGGGGAAGGTGTCCACGGCGCGTTGGGCCATCGAACCAACCAACCGAGGTCGTCGGGTCGTCCAGATGACATACCGGCCACGTTTGTGATGCCAGAATGCGAGAGCGAGAATGAACAAAAAGAGGAAACAGACTGTTGCTATTAGCCACTAATCCACAAGGGAGTTGAAATGCTACTCACGAAGGATGCAGTTGAAGAATGCAAAGGCTTGGAGGACTCGGTAGCGTGCATGGTAGACCGAATTGGAATCTAACAACTCGTCAGGAGCCATTCCCATCGCCTTGGTTTAACTCACAGCCTTCGACATTCGAGTCGACCACAACGCCTTCTTCGTCTTCCTCCCAGCACTCAACCTCGTTGTCCTTGGCAGCGGGTGTCGTCGTATCCAGCCAATGCTAAGCTTCATGAGCCTTGACCAATCGAGATTCACAGACCAATTACTCACACGTCCAAAGAAGAGCAAGCACGCCGAGCCATGCGAGTTCCCACTTTGTTCGGAGGATATTCGAGACTTTGCGATTACACGGCGCAACCAATCTATTTCCCGATCAGCTTGGTGATTACTCGGCGCGGACAAAGAAGGCGGTGGGGCTTTGGAGGCAACCAGAATCGCTTCGAGTCGTGGCCAAGCCATCCAGATCCGGCGCCGGCCCAACGGCCTTTCAGGGCAAAGGGAGCAATTGCTCTGGACCGAAAAAATAGAGGAAAAAAAGGGAAAGAGACTCACACAACGAGGAATGTAGCAAGAGTGACCGCAGCAACAAAGACGGAAAGGGAAACGTATGTCACTGACAAAAATGTGAGCGATTGGGAGCTTGTCAACAAGAGGCGGGTGTGCGTACGTTGAGGAGCAGAGTCTACAAAGGACATTTGAAAGTGAATCGCTATGCCCAGCACAATAAATGTCCATGCGCCAACAGTGCCTGTAGAACGAGCAGTGGAGCCATTAGCCGTCGTGCCACTCGAGTTGCGAGGGGGACGCACCAAGCAGGGCACCGCGAACGAGAGGAAATATGTTATACATCGTCGTTACAATCGTCTAGTCGTCTAATCGAGTCGTCGGGCTTGCTGGCAAGCGGGGGGCACGCAAGCGTTGAAGAACTAAAACAGAAAAAAGGAGGCAAAGAGGAGCACAGGCTCGACGTCTTTGCTTCTGCTCCTATAAGATGGAGCTCTGGTTAAAAGCAGAGCTCGTCGAAAGGCGTTCGTGCGAGGTCGTAGTGGTCAAGAAGAAAACGTGGACGGGAGCAGGTTGCCCGGTCTCGGCGGGCAAAGACCTTTATCTTAGATTGGAGGAATTTTGCTTTGTTCGTAATAGAGTCGCGTTATGCACCTGAACGCTTGATTCTCGCGGCGCGCAGAGGCGGTCAGCCGCAACGCGCAGAGCGCGAGGTCGCCGCACCTCTACGACGCTCCGCAGAGGATCACAGCCGTGGCGCACCAGATGATCTACACAGCTCATGGAGGACGAAACGCATGCGCATGCAACAAAGAGCGCAAGTATTCTATGTGAATAACGCTTTGCCCAAGGAATGCCTAGCCTACACTACCTTTATTTGAAAGTTTGTCAGGACCGCTCCAAGCGAAACGCTGAGCAAAAGCCACGCGTGTTCACCGACTTTTAATCTCTCCCGCCCGAGAGTCTGTTTGCTGGTAGTTTGACTCTTGCATTAAACATATCATGATGTATACATCCAACTAAGCTATGCGTTTCTTATCTTTCCAATCCTCTCTATCCACGTCCGAGTCGTCATTGGGTCTAGGAAGCTTTTCCAGACTGTCCATCTGCAGGAATTAGCTCCAAACGGGCAATCTTTACTAGCTACACACCTCTACATCCGTGCTGTCGCTCCTGTGTACCGGCGTGGCAACATGCACGCCCAGAGGCGGAGGTGAATGTAGTTTATCCGGGTGATCCGTGATGAAGCTAACGATTCTCGTTGCCGAGGTATGTCGTCCGCGCACAGCGGCATGCCCATTCGTATTGATCGTCCCGCTGCCCCCAATGGACATACTCGCCCGCCCCGTATTGTGGTGGATATTGGTAACCGTGATACGTGCTCCCGTAGACGCAGAGGCTTCGTGCGAGCTGGCACGTTCGCTGCGCATCTCATTGCGGGTGTTAAGCGTATACATGAGTGAAATTGCATATAGCTTCGACAGGACAATATTGAACGCCAAATGCCTGGAAATTTTAGTCTATATGTCTGGAAAGAGAAGCAAAGACATACGTCAATTCGATTGGACGTGTCTCAAGCACGACAGCGGTGACTACAACTCCAAGTGTCGGTGGGAGAGCCGTCTGCCATGTCATGCGCACGAGACGATCAATCAATTCTGAAGTTCTACAGACCATTGAGCGTCCGAGTTCATAGCTGGTAGAGTACTCACGATCGCATGTCTGGCCGTTGCTGGTAGAGATGTAGAGCAGTTGCACCAGTAATGAGCGTGTCAACAGCAATAGCAAAGATAAAATGAACGAGAGCTGCAGCAGCGATGATTAGTATACGCCAGGTGTATCGTCGAGGCCAAAACGTACACCACGCTCGAATTCGGTGATGTTCGACACGAGGAAGGTAGACAGTCTGCAGTTGATATGTTATAACACGAGTGAGCACCAAAGTCACCAGACGTACGACCAGAATAGCGGCAACGAGTGAAAAGGCAACACCAAGCATTGTTACACCGCAAATGATTCTTCTTCTCGTGAGCATCCAATACCGATATATGAAGAAGCTCTGGACGAGACTAGCGATAATTGCCGTCTGTGATCATAAATCTCAACTGGGGCCCAACCTGTTCAAGCAAGGGGTACTGACTGTGAGCCCGGTCGAATAGTGCCGCCAATCGACAGCAATGAGTAATACGGTGACGTCTGGGTTACAATAGTTTGCAATGACCATGTTCCAGCAGATCAAAATGTTCTGGGCCGACTTGGTGATGCAGAGAGCGTTGAGGAGTATTACGAGCCACGTGAACCTGTTCTTACTCCCGTCGGTGTCTCTGAATCCAAAGAAATTGGCAGTTTGACTGAATAAAATCCCTAAAGTCGAGGGGTTCAGCGACCGATGCCTGAGCAACGGAGATGTGAAACACCTTGGAGCAACATATCCGCGAATGTACCCATGATTGGGAGCAATCTGAACGTTTGCTTCTGTCACAAGTTGCTGCGCGGGTGGGCTGAGAATGATTGTTGACGGCTCGAAGCCGATTGTGGTAATGTTAATGGTCATATTGCCTCTTCCTGTGCCAATTCCGTGTAAAGGCATACAGGGGTGGAGGAGGGAAGGGAGAAGAGAAATGGATGGTGGACGTAAACTGGCCTCGACCTTTTAATATTGACCGGCGTTCGGCCATAAAAGTCAAAAAATGAATGATACCGCTCAGGAACGCCTCATGATACAACGTATATGGGGCAACTGCATGACCGTCCCCGTGAGTGCCTCCGCTTTTCTCGGTCTTTCTGAATGCAACACCCTCTTCAGTACCGTCATTCACCTTTATCTATCGATATCCGTTGATATTACGTCTGGCCCAGACCGGTCCATAGTCGGAGACAGAACCGGCGACTCAACGTTTTGTGTTAGAGGCGCTTGATGGACGGATGGTAACTTCGAAATGACTAATAGAACGGGTCCAGTGTTCGTTAGCCCAGGGACAACCACCGTCAATCGCGGTCAAGAGATGATGGTCATCCATGCATCGCAGCTCTTGCCTCACGAGGGAATCTACCGTCTGCAAGACGAGTCACCTAGATATACACTTCATCTATTAGCGAATATACAGATCATCACGCTCTTCAATATCATGCCTTCATCAAGATCATTAAAACTGGAGGCCTTTCTTGCTGCGAAAAAAGTCTCGTAGCCGCATCAGAGTCTTACCGAGCTGGTTCTCTCCTTTGCCATTCGCACCGCAACCCCAGAAGGCGTCCACTGGCGAGTCCTGACAAAGTCAGCCTTATTTCAGTCAATAAGAGTAGAACCCCGTACCTCTATAAGCTCTGCATCCCCCGTGTTCATCAACTCGCGTTTGAGACTGGAGTGTTGGGAGAATTTGGCCTTGAGGATGTTATACATCTATCACCTGTTAGTCAATATCCAGTGGGAGGGCGAGAGCATACCAGGTCTATCTTGACCTTTGCCCAGTCTTCTCGAACCTCGGGCTGGAACCGACGAGCTTCATTGAACGCGTCTCGTGGATTCTTGGAGAACGTGCGGATATGTTCCGCAAGCCCCGGTCGATGAACGATAAACTAAGCTCAATGTCAGTCTGCATCTTTCAGGATTTGGCAAGATGAACCTTGTACGCTTGGAAGACATGCTCGGACGTTGGATACGTCCTTCCCTCGAACACAACCTACAACGCCTATAAATGACCGTTCCGAAACACTTGCAAAAGTAGAAAACGGACCGAATGGGGGGAAAAGTTTGTAAACCCATAGAACGGCTTATCCTTGTCGTAGAACAAAATCTTGGTCTTCTTGGAAGGAGTCGAATAAGGAGTAGGCGAACCTCGACCTCCACCGTGTGCATTATGATCACGCGGTTGACGGGCAAGATACGCTGGGTAGGGTACGCTGTGCGAAGCCGACGTTGCTCCCATCGAGTTTGCGCGCTTTCTCTATTCGCACCGACATAAATGGTACCGAAAACAAATATTATATGTATAACAAGTTGCATGGAATCAGTCTACGAGACGGGTCATCGAGGACGGGCGTACAGGCACGACTGGCGGTTGGGGCTGGTGATGGATGATCTCAAGGTTCTTTGCATTGATTACGATGGGCGGCGACAATGGAATCTGCTGTGTAGTTCTCTGCAGTCGCGTCGATTTATGCGAGGACATTGTGGTCAGAGTTGAAGTTGCGTTTGGGTCCCGCTTGGGGCGTCTATTTTCCAGCCGCGCCGCAGGATCCAACTTCAACAACCTTGATCAGTACACTGCTTACTTATTGAGTAGCAAGGAAACAGCAGCTCTACTGACAGCAAGGCGGGAAGATCAGACTTTGGGTATCTGGGGTACCATCCAGCACATTCAGTAACGCGCCGCACATCAAGCGGCGGCTGTATAAGAGTCGACGAAACATCCAGAATATCTCTACAAACGAAAAGAGAAGCGGGCCAAGGGAATTTAGTATGGCATCGTCGGCATCATCGCTTGTCCGACTTCGGCGTGCATAGCCTCTGCATGTCTATTTGCTTGCTGAGCTGCTGTATCCTCCTGCTGTAAAGCGGCTCTTAATCGCATCAACGCGAGACCGAGTTGGTTCTCGCCGTTACCATCCCTGCCCACTCCCCAAAATGGATCGTAGGGCGAATCCTATCCGATATCAGGCGTCTCTTCTCCGACCACAGGACTCAAAAATACCTCGATGAGCTTTAAAGTACCTGTATTGACAAGCATCTGCCGTAGTCGTGGATTCTGTGTAAACTTTTCGCGCAGAATCTCGTCCATCTTCTGAATTTTGACCGAATGCCAATCCGGTCTCCATTCTGGTTGGAATCTTCGTGCTTCTTCAAATGCGTCACGTGGACGATCCGAAAATGTCCTGATATGCTCTGCCAATCCTGGGCGGTTTACGAGGAACTGAAAGCATCTTGAATCAGTATCCATACTACTCGTTCCAGGAGATAAACACAGACCTTTTGAGCCTGGAAAGCGTGCTCAGAAGTCGGGTATTCTCTCCCAAGGTAGACCACCTTGTCGGGAGAGAAATTGGTAAACTCGTAGTACGGGTCCTCTCGGTTGTAGAACTTGAGCTCGGAGACCTGTTGTTGCTGAACCTCTTGATGAACCATTGGTGCGTTGAAACCAGCGACATTGAGCGATCCCGAGCGGCTAGGGGGATGCATGATCGGCTGTTGCATTTGTTGATTCTGATAGTACCCAGTATTCACCGGTGCAGGAGACTGAGTTTGCGGAACGGGTCGTGGAGGCAAACCATAGGCTCTGCCACCCATGCCAACTTGGTTCATTGTCGGTTGCTGAGGACGGTTTTGGGTCATCATTGCGTGAATTGGCGTGCCAGAGGGTGCAGCTGATTGTTGAATTTGCATCTGATGCTGCTGATATTGTTGATTCTGAAGCTGACCCAAGCTCGGCGGTTGCGATTGGCCTTGGGGAAGCGCTAGTGGCGGTTTGTCAAACTGTCCGACGCGTTTGTGGACTATGCCAGCTAGTACAGGTCCATTCGTACTTCCGTTGCCACTTGCGCTACCCTGCATCCCCTGGTAATTTCCAGGCAAGAGGCTTGATGGATGCGGCGAAACGGCTGATGGGCCCGTAGGATGCGGACTCGGGAAATAAGGACCTGTGTTCGACGGTCCAACGGGTGGTACGTTGGACGGAGAAAGTTGGCCGTATTGCAAGCCATCCTGGGCCGTAGCGCCTGGGCCGATACCAGCGAGATTGACGCCTGCCTCGGGACTCGTTGATGATTGATTCAAGAACGGATTATTTTGCGGTGCAGACGTCGTCGTTGCAGGCGAATATGACTGTATCATAGTGGTTTCAGTCATGATGGGCGGAGACGGCGAGGAAAGAGCAGGGACAGAGGCGCTGGATGACAAGTCCCACTCTTCACCCGTACCTGCCAGGGAAAGCAGAAGCCGGGAGTTTATCAAGAGACGAGTATAGTATACTCAGTGTGCTTTCTCACCCGCCAAATGTTCTGTTTCCAGTAGGCAAACGGGTAGTTGCGGCAGATATACAAAGGAGCTAACTAGCCAGAACGTGTGACCTTGAAGTACATAGGTCCGTAAGCTTAGACATGAGACTTTGAACTAGCGACACAAGGTCTCATATAACCTGCAAATGACCGTTTCAACAGCCTCAACTTTAGGTCGGTCATTGTACTCGGGCCACCTCCAGCATTCCGTCAACAATGCCCAAAATGACTCTCTGATAGATTCGTCTTCGATCATGCTGGATGTGACCACGCCCGGCTGACGGCCACTGTCAATCATTTGATGGAGGTGAGCCAGCTGTTGAACGTCTGCATAGGGTTCCTCGCCTTCAACGAACTATGATTGCAATGTCATTAACAACCTGCATGATCAAATTGACATACGTAAAGACCAACACAGCCCAACGCATAGATATCCCCGGGGAAGCTGGCTCGTGGTTTCGGATTTTTATCTGTGATACGTAGCTCAGGGGCAGTGTATTTTGCGGTCGCTCGATATGGGGAGCTAGTGATCAAGCTAGTCTCCCCTCCCCAATCCATCAAGCGTATAAGGCCAAAGTCACAAAGCATAGCAATTGGTCCGTCCCAAATCAAGATATTTTGCTATAAGGTGGTTATTTCCTAACAAAAAGTGTCCGTGTGTTCACATACCGGTTTGAGATCCCCATGAACAATGCCAAGTTTGTGAAGGTAGCAAAGTCCTCGCACTACATTGTGCATCTGATGGGTTTGAGCTCCAGGCATGCTTTGGTGGGCAAAGAATTCACCAGTTTCAGTCTAATGGCTAAATCAAAGTTGTCCGTGCCAAGGAACGTTTCTGCATTTCCGAGAGGGCACCACTGCAACCAGCCAAGTCAAATTCATGAAATATCAAAATTATCAGAGCTGACCATAGATATCATAGACAGAAACTCGCCAAACTTGTTAGAGAACCCATAAAATGGCAGAATATTGGGATGGTCAAGAGCTGCCCAGACTTTGATTTCTCGAAGAACGCGCTTAAAAACTTGTAAGCTGCGGATTAAATGATTTGGTATCAACTTACGAGGTTTAATTTGATTAGCCCTTCTTTGGTGATCCTATTAGGCAGTCTTGTGACTTTGACACCCACCTGAGCACATAATAATGGATATTTTTATATCAAGAGAAGTATGACATACGTTTTTTTCTCCCCAAAAACCTCTATAGACAGTTGCAAAGCCTCCATGAGCAGCTCCTAAGATACCTTCCATATTGATGTGAACCTGCTCACTCAAATCTTTGAGCGGTTTCAAGGTCATAAGGTATGCCAAGCTATGTTCCTGGTTGTTTTCCGCATTAGGCACACTATCATATGCAACAATCGTTTGATGAGTTGAGGCAGTTCGAACAAGATGTGGCAGCTGGGCTGGTTGGTGTGTCTGATCAGTATCTTGTTGTACGGCAGGCAGGGATGATTGCAATGCAGCGGCATATGTGTTACTGTTCCTGACTTGATTTGCCTTGGTCAGCTGTCCCGTATGGACTGAGGAGCCAGATGGTACGTCTGTATGTGCTTGTGAATTACGTGTCTGTTGCTGGTCTTGTTCATCTGAGTCTTCCAGGGCCAGTGATCGTGGGTGACTTATCAGCATGACTGTTTGATCAAGATTTTGAGCCCCTTCTGACATCATCTGTTCATCTGGAATTTCATTGGACGGTGTCTCTGTTGAGGACTGAGCCGTGCCAGGTTAGTATCAAGATTGTACAGAAGTCGTAGACGATCACCTTGAGCATATTTGAGTGCTTAGAATCGTCTTTGGTGACCTCCACTGCATTCTTATGGCTTGCTGGACCCTTCCTTGCACGGAATTTTGGCAATTTCAAGGAAGAAATGCGGCGTGAAAATTTCCTTGCAGCTTCAGTTAGAACGACACGAATGAATGGTGATAATGATGAGATCCAACGACCATAGCTTCGAGGTCCCACTGTAGCTATAGACCATACGTCAGAATCCATCCCATACCCACAACCTTATCTTACCAGCATCATTGCCTACTGCCATCGATAGCTGCAACATCGAGAGCAGCAACATCGATAGCTGCAACATCGAGAGCAGCAACATCGAGAGCTGCAACATCGAGGGCTGCACACTCAAGCTTTCGAGATCATTTGCTTCCTACACATGGTATTTAATGTCAGAATGATCCGATCCATGGAATGCATCAAGTGGGACGAAACTAACGCTGACAGGATCTTTCAATCACAGAGGCTTCAGTATCCATAGCATTGCAGTACGATTGTAACCTACCTTGAAGTCTTGCTGTATGTACGATATTGGAGTTAGAGAAACAGTGTATGTTCAAGAAGGCAGACACACCTCTTAGAGCTATGACGGTCGCCTGAATACTAGCTACACTCGGCCGTTTCGCAGGGTCCAACTGCCAGGTGTGTACGAATAGAGAGCTCCATAACATCGATGCCAGCGAGCTGTCCAATTTCTGAAGATCTGAGAGTTCAGCCGGAAGCTGTCCACGGTTCATGGCCTCCTGAAGCTTGTTTGTTTTGTGAATTGGCTGGTATGGCTGATAGTCAACTAGAAACTAGAAAGGATTGAGTCTTAGAATGTCTTATTAGAATCAACTCCTACCTCGAGAGCTAGACATCCCACAGCCCACACATCCCCACTCATAGTCGCACGCAGATTGGGATCTTGATCCGGGATGAGGAGCTCGGGTGCAGTATAACGAGGGGGGGGGTCTGTATGGAGTGGTCGTCATCCCGATTTCTCCTTCCCAATTCGCCAGTCAGACAAGACCAAAATCTGCCAACAGGGCCCGGTTTTGGTCACTGATGAGAACATTTCCCTGGGAGGAAGTATATGTTTAGCATTTGAGACGTCATAAAACTTGGATGACTCACCGGTTTTAGACCGCCATGAATCACTCCGAGTTTGTGGAGATACGCGAGCCCTTCGCATACGTCGAGTAACTAGTGAATGTCTGAGAGCGATTCTTCATGAAGAAACACAGGTCCTACCAGTTGTATCCGCTCATCGAAGTGTATGTCTCCATGAGCGTCAAGGTAACTACTCGCATCCCCCAGCTCGCACCACTGAAATTCCTGTTAGACAGAGCTTCCGGTAGCATAGAAGTAAAGCACCGGAGACACCATTGTGAGAAAGTCTCCAAACTCGCGTGCATATCCCAGGAAAGGTAGGATATTCGGATGCGATACAGCTGCCATACTTTAATCTCTCTTCTGATTCGCTATATCCGGTCCATCAATCATGTACTGGGGAATAGGACGAGATTACTACGTACCCTTTCGAGCGAATGCTCCCATGGTGCGGGTTTAGACTTTCTTTTTTGGAATCTGGTCACTTTGACAGCAACCTACAAGACATTAGAAAGATTAGGTCATCTTACAATATTTACCTTTTTGCCATTCCAATATCCCTTGTATACAGTCGTGAATCCTCCATGAACACTATCCGCCGGGTTTCTTATTGTTATTTCACCAGTCAGATCGGTCGGTCTGTATGAGTCCATGAGTACGTTCAAATCGTCAGAGGCGTATTCTGGGGGGCTATCAGAACTCAACACAGGGTATCATGAGCGTACTTCATACCTGCATTTTCCGGAGTCTCTTCTGTGATATTCTGTAGGGATGAGGAGTAGTTCTGTGTTGTGAGCACGCCGGCGGCCAATGTGTTGCTCTGGGCCTCGAGGGAAGCCATATACGATCGGCAATTAGCCAAGATCACTCTGTAATAGGATGAAAGTATGGTTGTACAAATCATTCTCGGGCATACACGACTTAAAAGGGGGTCTAGGGTGCCGTTCAAAAGCCCTGAAGTGTAGACGCCTTGTAGCTGAGGAAACAAGAGGAGATGTATTCCTTTTCGAGGGTTTTATGCTGTTAGAAAAGATATTGAAGGTCTTTGTAGTAGCTCTTTGGTTGGAAGTGGAGGATCGAGGTGGAGGGCAAGAGCAGGTTGTCCTCACCACCTGTGGGCGAGTCTCCACGCCCCATCAGCATGCTTGTGAACAGGATTGTGCTAGTCTCTTTACCCTAGGCGCTTAGCCCGAGGGGCAGTTCCCAGTTTAATGCTCAGGCACCTTCATCGGCTGGTTAATTAGGTCGACATGCGGCATGTCCTCAGGAGTCACCGCCCTATATATATACACTTTCAGAATGATTGGGTTTTGTACATTCATTCCTTGATGAACGATCCTCTTACCTCTCTTGTGTGTCTCTCGGGGCTTGAGACCCCTATTTAGACAGGATAGTGTATGCAGGGAGTAGACGCTACGTAGATAGATTCAATGAAGGCCCCGGTCACGGTGATAGATCTAGACTGGTTGAGGCCAAGAACGAGAACTCAAGGCCAGGCATGCGTGGAAAAGGGCTAGAATAGCAATGGAAATCTAGATACCAATCAAAAACCCATACAGAAAGAGACAACGAAGAGGCAAGACAGACCAAACACTAGGCTACGGGGAGAATGGATGGACGTGCATGGCAAGACAGAAAAGAGTGAATCACTAATACACAATGAGATACGCAGGTCGAATTGCATCGTTGTCATATACGACCAGCTCGTCGTAATTGAGCGCTCCCGCGGTGTCTGGCTCGCCCAGGACCTATCGAATTAGAACATAAGCCAACGTACACCTGTAAAGCGTTCTCAAAACGCACCGAATGATACCCCGCAGGAGGGCCAGTGAGCTGCGTGCTATTGTTCGTGAGCTTGTATCCATTGCCGACAATGACTTTGCTGAGCAGCATGGCTTTATATTGCGATGTCTTCTTATTACTCGTATACGAGTCGCTTTTCGACGACGTCGCCGACGTGTAAAGGCTAGCTTTCGTTAGCCACTTTGCCCTGCCCGCTCAAAGAGGTACGTACCCGCAACCAAATCGGCCCCATCCGGTCTTCCCTTTGTAGAATTTGAGGTCGAAAGACGTCCGAATAATACCGCACAGTCCGCACGTCGAGTCCGAGCAGAGCTGAGTATTCTGTCGACCAGTTAGACCGTCTGTCACTCTATTTGATCACGATAAAAACTCACTCCCGGGTCACCGAGTAAACAAGCACGGGTAGTTCCATGGAATCTTCGGTTTTCGTTGCCTGGCGTCCGCCCTTTGGCAGCAAAGCCACCTTCCTGCTCTACTCGATCTCGATAGGCGTTGTACGAGGCATTTTGAGTAGCGTTCATCAGGATCAGATAGATGAACTTTGCCGTCTTTGGCGCCATGTTCGTATGCGTCCACTTGGTATCAAACTGATTGGCGACTGTGCTCTCGTCTCAGCAACCCGGATCGAGTATATGACAGGAGGCGTACCATCTTTGAATTTTGGATGATCTGAGGGTATCTCGATGATCCCTGGAGCCATTGTTTCTGATGTTTGTACACATGCTGGCGAGCAGAAGAGGCTGTTCCGTGTTTGATCATATGGCCGTATCTTGCAGATGACACAGGCTCTTGTGCTCAGACCTGCTGCCCCGACCGCGGCGCCTAGAAGGTTCAGAAAGGCGGATACATTGGGAGTCAGTGTGGGCTGCTGGAGGTGTGGATTGTTGCTGAGCAGACGATGAGCGTCCACAGCATATTCGCGGACGATCAGAGCTCACTCTCGACATCTTTTACCACAGAACAAGGAATGGACTCCATTTGGATCCAACCAAGCGGGTTTTTGGCAGCCAGGAACGACGCATATCGCTATAGCACACCGGATTTAGTCTTGGTCCATCGCGTTGAAAGAAAGACGCACGTCCATATGTTTGTGGTGGGGCCGGGGCTGGGGCCGGGGCCGGGGGAGGTTGCTGATAAACTGGAGCGGGAGAATAGTAGGGCGGCGGTGGATAATACTGCGGCGGGTAAGGATTCTGTGGATATCCATAGTTACTCATGACTGGTGGTGGTGGATTGTATCCATTCGGGGGATATGGACCCCCCTGTTGGGGAAATTGTCCCGTCGGTTGTGGATATACGCCGCCAGGAGCGAGATATGGATTCGGTGCCTGTGGTAGTGGATTGTAGGGTTGTTGCTGAGGTGGATATTGACCAGTCGGTGATGGATATTGAGCGGGCGGGGGCGCATATGGTACTGGATTCGGCGGATACCCTGCAGGCGGCGGTGGTTGCGCGACATTAACAGGCGCAACTGGAGGCATTCCTTTTGCTGCATTTCTGCACATATTACCGCAATAGTCGAATAGCTGCCCCGTGGGGGCATCAAACCATCGCGGCTTCTGCCCACAAAACTAGAAGGGCAATGAACCGAGACCAGTCAGCCCTTGATGATTCAAACCCAGAGAGAACAATGAAGGCTCACCATACATAGTGGTGCCGCGGCCATCGTGTTTATGGATGGTCGAGGGAGGAGAGGAGAACGGTGAGCGTCTATTCGACCTTGCTGAGAGATTTCTGCGGTACGCGGGGTCCGCTCGGAACTGCCAGCTGTGTCAGAAAGACAACCAAACTATACCCTCGGTGGGTCATCCAGCCCAGCTTGAATGTGCTGGTTGAGAGCTGCCAATTGCCAAACTTTGGCCCACACTAAACATGACGAGCGACGACAATTCTATTTCCTAAATATTTATTTCTACACTTTTCATCGCGTCGCCGTCCACTGTCAGAATTTGTGGCACAATGCGGTCAAGTTCAAGTTGGGTGAACCACAGGCATTTTCAAGGAGGCGGCTAGAGAAACAACATGAGAACGTTCAATAAACGATGAGGTACGCTGGTCGAATGGCGTCGTTGTCGTAAACAACCAGTTCGTCATAGTTCAGAGAACCGGCAGCATCCGGTTCGCCCAATACCTGGAAAGATATCAGCCGGGATTCAGACATAGGCGAGATACTTCACCGAGTGATAGCCGCTCGGCGGAGCAGTACGCGTCGTATCATCAGTCTTTAGCTTGTAGCCATTCCCGACGACAACCTTGTTGAGAAGCATGGCCTTGTACTGTGAAGGCACCTTATTCGTGGTGTAAGAATCGCTTTTGGACGATGTCGCCGACGTGTAAAGGCTAGCTTTCGTTTAGCTACTTTGCCCCGCACGCTCAGAGGGAAACATACCCGCAACCAAATCGACCCCATCCTGTCTTCCCTTTATAGAATTTGAGGTCAAACGAGGTACGGATAATACCACACAGTCCGCAGGTCGTAATCGAGCAGAGCTGGGTGTTCTGCCGATCGATTAGTCCTCGACTCGTTCGCCCTTGCTAACGGAAACACTCACTCCTGGATCACCAAGTAAGCAAGCACGGGTGGTGCCATGAAATCTTCTATTCTCGTTGCCTGGCGTTCGACCCCTGGCGATAAAGTTGCCCTCTCTCTCGACACGGTCCCGGTAGGCATTGTAGGATACGTTCTGGGCCTCACTGCAGAGGATGATATAGATAAACCTGGCGGGTCTAGCTGGGTTGTTCGTATGAAGCCACTTGGAGTTGAACTGGTGGGCGACTGGCAGCCACATGAGCACGCGCGAGTAATATGAACGTCATAGAGAGTGTGCCTACCTTCGCTGAATTTGGGATGGTCAGAAGGAATTTCGACAATCCCGGGTGACATGGCCTCTCCCCGCTTGACACACGCGATCCCACAGAATAGACTTTTGCGTGCTTGATCGTAGGGTTGTGTTCTGCAGATTACACATGCTCTTGTTCCAAGATTCCAATTGTTCACGGGAGGCGCCGTCGAATTATCTGGTCGCTGGAGATGCGGATTGTTGCTGGGGACAGTACGTGAGCGCAATGAATACCCAAGGTCAAGTGCACTCACTCGACATGTTATTCCACAAAAGCTGCTATACCCTCCTTGGGGATTTTGCCAGGCTCGCCTATTACAGCCCGGAACGACGCAGATTGCTGTTTAATTTCGCGTCGGTACTCTATACCTATACTAGGTTCCATTCAACACTCACGACCAGCAAACGCAGGTAAGGGAGGAGGAGGCGTGTACGATGCGGGTGCGAGTGAGGTCGTGCTTTTGTTTCGAAATAGCGACCCAAACATTGACTTTTTCTTCGGGGTAGAGAGTGTCGACGAAGAAGAGCCCCTTGAGCTGCATTCTTGCAGTGGTTTCACAATAGCTCAGATACCGCGTTCCATCAAAGTATCGCGGTCGCCTGTTACAGTGCTATCGATTTCGCTCAGACTCGACGCGGCGCCAGTTCTTGATTAGTAGCACTTACTGCACATAGCGGAGCTGTCGCCATTGCGGAGAGGAACAAAAAGAGTGTTACCGGCAACTGAGCGTCTATCGCCCTGAACGGTGGATCTCACTACAGCCGTGGCGTTTGCTGGTCGACAGGATACCCGATCGGGGTCTGCTCCGTTTGCTCGACCCGTGGTTTCCTCATTGGTAGCGGTCAGATTTCAGGGTATTCAAGGACGCTCATTGAACACTGGATGCTTTCCAGGACTCATGCCGAACGCAATCTGAAGTGGCTACCACCGCAATGACAAATACTCAGAGATTCAAATAAAGGGAATAATGAATGGGTACTCCTCTGTCCAGGGATCAGGGTTTGGCGTGATGTACATAAACCGGTGAGTGCCGTTCGATTTATTTATCATCATAGCCCGGAAGCATCTGCACCTCCAGAACCTCAAGCACATTAAACAGATATGATCACCCGAGGGAATAATAAGTCTCATCTTGAACTCTTTGTTCATTGTGTATTGATTGCCCTCAATATAGCCTCGGTTCAGCGCTCTTAGTGGTTCAAATTCTTCCAATCTATTCACCTGTTCTCTCCGTCAACGCATGACCTCCGTTCTGGCTGCCTCTTACCTTGTGTCAACTCGCGCGCCTGCTCTTCCCAATTGTCGTCGTCCAAGAGAGACATTTGAACGATATTTGGTCGTTGTCAGAGCTGATAACCGCGTATACGACCAGAGTGGTTGGATATAAAGTCGGGGGGAAAGTTTGAGAGCTCAGTTGATTCGCGCAAAAACTTCACCCCATTCCGCTAATGCAAATTTCAGGGCCTGGGTTTTGATTAACGAATCTTCCGCAAGACGTCTCCGCAAATGACCAAATACCCAGATATAACGCGCTCTCTTTTTGATGGATATAAGAGCAAAGATTCAGAGTCAAAGATCCAATGAATCAATACTTTCTAGGGAGCAAGTATTCAGCGCATTTGCTTAAGTACATCAGGGGCTCTCAGTATATGATGAGATACGCGGGTCGGATCGCATTATTGTCATAGACAACGAGTTCATCATAATTAAGAGTTCCAGAAGCGTCTGGTTCCCCCAGAACCTGTGAACAGATTAGATCGACCGAGCGGATGGATCACAGGGCATACCGAGTGGAATCCTACGGGAGGGGCAACAAGATTTGGACTATTCCTCGTCATCTTGAATCCCCTTCCTACCACTACCTTACTCAATATCATGGCTTTATAATCTGAAAGTTGATTGTTCGCTGTGTATTGATCGCTCTTGGACGACGTCGAGGACGTGTATATTCTCAACAAGCAGCGTTAGTTTTGCATCGGTATGACCGCATGAAGCATACCCTCTTCCAAAACGGCCCCATTTGGTCCGACTCTTGTAAAAGCCAAGGTCAAAAGAGTTACGAATGATGCCACACAGTGCGCAGGTTTGACTCGCACAAAGCCGCGTCTTCTATCGGGCAGGTTAAATCATGCCCGTTTTAGTTTCTGGTGAATTCTACGGTACCCCGGGATCTCCAAGCAAACAATCTCGACGAGTTCCGTGAAACCTGCGATTCTCATTGCCCGCTGTACGATTTTGGGCTCTGAAACAGCCCATATTTTCGACCTGTAGTCGATATGTGTTGTAATTCGCCTTTGATTGCGCAGTCTGTGCGATGAGATAGATGCGTTTCACAGGTCGGAATGGCGCATTGGTGTGTAGCCATTTAGAGCGAAATTGATTCTCAACTATGACTGTTAGCATAATTTCCTTAATAAAAGCGTAGCGCATCGCACCGTCTTGGTATTTGGGGTGATTCGGTGGAATATTGATGATAGCAGGGGCCAACGTCTCCGCGGCTTTCACGCAGCCGAGTGTACAGAAGAGACTTTTACGGATCTGATCAGCGGGTCGTTGCCCACAGATGACGCATAGTGGCAGTCCAGTATTCTGTTGGGTGAAGTTAGCAGGCCATGCAATCTGAGGGGCGATACGGTTAGGTTGACGCTGGACAGGCGCTACGGCGCCGAAGCCAGGTCTATAACCCTTGGATCCAACGCTTGATCTTGAAGAACTACTCCAAGGAGCAAGATTAGGTATTCCAGCTTGTTTGCCCTGAGCAGCCATCTGGGGACTGTGGTACGTGTGCAAGGGTGCGACTGAGTTTCCAGCGCAAGGGTGAATACCAAATGCTAAAGAGAACTCAGCATCAGACTGATGCGAGTCATCTGAGTAGATACAAAAATTACTCACCGCGTCGAGAGAGCTCCCAGAGCTGACCCACAGATGATGCAAGTATCAAGAGAGTGTGCGTCTTTACTCTGGTATATATCAATATGGATCATATGTCACGTTCGGGAACAATAACGGGGCCAGTCCGCGGGTTTGCTGGTAATGACTGCCTGTCGCTTCTGAAATGTGTTGAAAGCGCATGAATTGATAGACAGCTATTGGGCTATGGCAAGGTTCAGGGATAGGCCGTACTCCGAGAGGACAAGTCGAGGCACAGGGGGCTGGGCCACGATAAGCGTCTGGGCAATATTATCGAGCATTCTGTTGTGAATGTTGTATATAGGAGATTTCTTTCGACTGCAACATGACCTGAAAACGACGCGACGTAAATCCATGAGTGAGGAGTGCATTTACACCCAGCCTTCGATGTCCGGTATGCGCGACGACTCTGGACCGAGTGTCAGAAGTATGGTAGTAGCAGTATTTATCCATGCCTAGACCTCGAGAGTAAGGTGCTTTGCCCTAATAGCCGTATGCTATTAGGCATTCTTCAGCTCGCAGATATACCTTGGTCGCACGTAGGTAGTCTCGCATACGATCCAGAATAGTACTATGTGGTTCCGAATTGTGGGCGAATTGCTGGCTGATCTGGCTGATAAAATTCAGACGTCGAATGCTGGTTGACAATGCCAGTGCCTTTGGCGCCGACTTGGACTTGTTCTCCGTCTTCAACCCTGCTCTCGGATTTCCAACAATGTCGATGCTTAGCAACTGGTGGAACGGCGGAGGCAATAATTCCAACGGGAATGACCTTTGCGAGGTAGACCCTCTGCCACTTCTCGACTGTTGATCTATCCCGCTGAGCTGTTTCCGTCGACTCTAGGTCTGCAACGCCCGCCCAAAGTACCGCGATAGCTTTCGTGTACATCCATATTGCGGCAAATCCTGCGCTGCAAAGGCACCCAACTGCTTCTATCCAGGATGCGGCGCAAAAGGCACGCGCGAGTATGGCGGCTACTGCTCACAGAAACACCAAAAGGCGACGGTCTACTGCGCGAGTTGCAAATCTACACCAGCAAATCCAGGACATGCACTTTGTTCCAATTGCCAGATGATGCAGGACAAGAACAGAAACAGGCTGGTCGAACTCCCACCAAACGACACTGGATTCCAAGAAGGTGCGTTCATATTGTATGTCTATACTATATATATGCTGATAAGTGTGTGATTACAGCACAGCAAATGCTCATTAGTGGCTGGCCAAGAGGTGTTCGTCCACCACAAGTCGGACGCGTCTTCAAAATAATGCTCGGAGAAAACAGTCAACTCCTTCGCTCGCAATACAAGAATTCGGGTGACAGTTCTCGGCTCCCTATATGGTATTCTGGTCAGAACATCTGCGAGCTCGGCGGTCCGACCAAGCCCGTCGAATTTTGCCAGTACAAGTCCTGCGGTATCTGCATTCCACTCAAATCTGGCTTCAGTGCGTTTGAGTTTGGGCAAAAGTACCAAACTGGCCCGTAAGTCCCATCTCTCTTGCTCTGAATCACGTATCTAAGTCAGAATTAGCCACGGGAACGGAATCTACACAACCAGAGAACCCGCGGTTGCGGACAAGCACGCAATATCATCCACGGGCACGCCGTATCGCGTCGTCATTCTCGCTAGTCTTACAATACCATCAAATGCGAGCAGAGAATTTGTACGTTTTCCCGTCAGACCTCTCTACAAGGTTACTAAGCCAGTACTAGATACTTGGGAACAACAACGATGTGTTCTGCAAGAATCCACTTGCCATCACCCCAGACTACCTCATCGCATACAATTACTGACCGTAGCCAGGTACACAGTTATGTTTGTCGAATAGACTCCTCTACTTGGGTCTTTGTATCGTCATAGCCTTTCAATGACTTTATATCTTCCACGCGATTTGTGAATAGAAATGCCGTTGCTCGCGATATACTGGACAAAATTTGAATAGATTTACTGACTCGCTGCCTGTTTGGCTGCCTTCTCCAGTTCGCTAAAGGTCCCGCTCTTGAGACACATGTCTCTGAACAATCCCCCCTCCTTCCGAATAAGATTCCACGGTGTGTCGAATTCAACAACATTCCCTTTATCCAAGATAAGCTGGATGGCTGGTCAGTGTAAAGGCAACAGCGTCGGACGAGCGCATACCAGACGGTCATAGTCAATTACGGTTCGTATACGGTGAGCGATGGTGATCAGACACGAATTCTTAAACTCTTCGCGCACTGCAGCTTGAATCTTTGCGTCCGTTTTAAAGTCGATGCTACCGGTTCATGAGGGCATACTCGTTATCATGTCAACCTACATACCTGGATGTGGCTTCGTCGAGGATGACAATGCTGCTTTGACGCAAGAGAGCCCTGATAACGGTAAGCATTCGTAGATTATTGATCATGAAGTCTGACCTTGCCATCGACATCAACTGTCGTTGTCCCTGACTAAAGTTGGCGCCTCGGGCAGAGACGTCAGTGTCCAGGTCGACCTTGGAGAGCTTATTGTTCTGGGGTGTGCTCGTCCCCGGTACAGAGGGAGTCTCCTCTGCTTCTTGAGGAGGGGATACGTCCACAACCGACGACAGGCGAGTCGAACGACGCGAGGCATATGTTGCCTCTGAGATAAGTCCGACACGATACAATGCATCTAGGCACTCCTCATCTGTATGTTCGGAGAATGGATCCAGGTTCTCTCTATAAAACGCATTAGCTACTCGTAGTCAATTCTAGCGTATGACGAACCGGATGGTACCGGAGAAGAGGACGCTATCTTGAGGAATAAAGGTCTGACCGTCATTAGCAAATACCCACCAACCTTTATGGTCACTTACGACTCGCTTTCTTAGGTCGTGTAATCCAATGTTGCCGATATCAATACCGTCGATGGTAATGTTCCCCTCTGTCGGCTCGACGAAGCGCAGGAGAGACATGGCGAGAGTGGACTTTCCACTGCCTAAAAATGATTAGTCGGAGTACAGTCCACCAGTTAGGGCCACACCCGTTCGTCCGAGAAGTCCAATCTTCTCTCTTGCTTTTACATCAAAGCTGACGCCGTGCAGAACAGCGGGTAAATCAGGTGCATATTTGATGACCAAGTTATTGACGTTCACTATTGCCTCCGAACTCGAGGTGATCGATGGCCAATATGCTGGTGGTCGACTATTCTCGATGACCGCTGGTGGTTCCTGAGGCAATTCCATGTATTCGACGACGCGTTCAACGGAGCTAATACGCTGTTAGCCAGGAGAATACACAAAAGCCCAAACATACTTGAGATCTAGCTCTAGTTGAGTCACCATTCTGCATGTCCAATAGACACTTGGAAGGAGGTGAACTTGAGTGGCTTGCACACTGATTCGTAAATAGCCGTACCTGCTAGTAAAGTTCATAGCACTGGTGATAGTAAGACCAGCTAGCCAGTCGGATATGAAGCCTCCAAGAACAAGCAGGGTGGCGAGGAGCACCGAGGTTGCGCCAAGTAGATCAAAGTTGAGCAGTAACCAGCGATTGATCATCCGAAAGTTGTAAAAGTATTTGGTCGTGTCATCCACCCGCGTGTGCAGATTTTCGAGGAATCGTCGCTCCGCAGAGAATGCTCGCACAGTCACGATGCCTTCCAAAGTCTCACCAAAAGCTGCGAAGATTGGTGAGCGACTTGTGCTATCCAGCCGACGCAGGTTGCGTCCTGTGTCCATATAACTTTGGTTAAGCTTGTAGTACTGAAAGCGACGAGTCAGAGCATAGCTTCATACCATAAAGTACGTACGCAGAATCCAATGATCGTACCAGGAACTACAAAACCCGGGAAGATGATGACAATAGTCAAGACGGCAGCAATGAAGCCCGCAATCGAGGTCAAGGTAGAGCGCAGAGAATACGCCAATGAAGAGTCAATGGTCTCAATATCCTTTGAGAATCGATTGAGAATGCGGCCTATACCGGGGTCAGTGCGAAGAGACTCAAGAGACCAACACTCGCCTGTAGGAGTGGTGTCGAACCAACGCATGGTGGCCCTCATGACCATCTTGAGCAAGTCCGCAAACATTTGCTTGGAGGCCTTGTATGCTCCAATCGACAAAATGATTTGTCCTAGAATGTTGACAAAAACGACGCCAATTCCAATACAGGCAAATACGCCAACATAGAACAGTGGATGCTCATTCGCTGAAGGGAAGCGGTCGGTCGGGAATGGATTCTCCGCAGTGATGGTGACAGTGGACGTGAATGGGTTGAAAGTGTTATTTGGGTATCGATATGAAGTTGTAATTTGGACGTCGTGGTATGCAAACTCTTGAGCCATTGTCCTGTGGAATGTCAAGAAGTGTACGGCTGGTGACGATTCGGTTGCACTCCCGGCCTACACTCTGGTTAGTATCGATATATGAGTGGTATAGAAACTACGACCTCTCCCCATATCTGCATCCAAAGCTGATAGGATCATGAGAAAACTGTTGTTCAAGCTGGAATGAACCACACCTTTTCCGTAACGCCTCCTAATTGGGACAAGCCAAGAATCATAAGTAGGAAAGCCCACGTAAGATATCCCCTATCGATGGTGAGATTTTTAAAGAAGATCTGTATCTACTCACGTTGCTACAAGATATGCCTTGTATACCTTCCATTTGACACTACCACGGGCACGAGCCTCAGCCTCGACAAGTTTCTTCGCCTGCTTCTTCTTCGAAGGTGCTGCCTTATTCGAATCACCATCGACTGCTTCTTGTGTGTCCTCGGTAGCAGCTACCGCTAATTCTTCAGCGGTCACGACCTCGGGCTCGGCGTTTGCCTCGGCTTCGTGAACAAAAATCTCGAGACGCCCGTCTGATTGCAAGTCTGTGACAGTTCCTTGAATATCAATCTGACCATCGAGCATGCGAACAAAGTAATGAGCAGATGAAAGTACGAGTTCGACATGATGTGTCACGAGAACCTATAGCCAGCGTCAGGAAGTCAGGTTCTTCTCCAATAACCAACGTACAATGGTGCGGTTGGCCATAAGAGGACCCCGAAGCAGCTTATCAACCAAATGGCGCGCTGTATGACTGTCCTGCCAATAATGAGGATAAGAAGCTTCCAGCAGAGGCCAATGCTTACAACTGCGCTAAGAGGATCATCCAAGAGAACGTGCTTGCTCCTAGAGTAGACAGCCCGAGCCAAAGCCACCCTTTAAACTCGTGAGATTTGGGTCCTGGTAGCACAGAGTACGTACCTGGCCTTCTGTCCACCAGAAAGAGAGACACCTCGTGCTCCAATTTCCGTCATATCACCATCTTCAAGAATGTCCAAATCCGGTTTGAGGGCGCATTGTTCAATGACTTGGTCGTATCTCGCCTTCTCAAATGGCGAACCAAACAGAATGTTGTCCCGAATTGTCAGATGCTCGAGCCATGGCGTCTGTGCACAGTACGCAACACTATTACGTAGACCTGTTTCTTGATCTAACTGCGTTGGATGCTTTGGCAAGAAATTAACTGGCTTAGAAGCCCCTTGCTCGACTGGTGTCATCTCGCCGAGGAGCGCCATTAGGAGCGCAGATTTGCCAGAGGCTGCAAAGTTCCATTATTATCAGTTTGTGACAGTGGTCGATTTTGGCATACCTGTGGGTCCGGTCACAAGCGAAAGCTTGCCAGTAGGGAAGATGATGTTGATATCCTGCAGCTCGAATCGAGGCACTTCGACAGCCGTAGCATCTGTATCCTGTCGCTGATGCACATTTCCATTTGTTGCAGTTGGGAGGACTGATTGACTACCGTCTGCCTGGCGCCGTTTCCAAAACTTCCAACTTGTATTGAATTTTGGCTTAACTGGCGGTTCGACTGCCAGATTCCATCGGAACCAGCCATTCTTGATGCCTAATCTTTCGTCTAAAGTACCTGTTGGCGCTACCACTGCCGTATCGTCCTCTTCTATCAGAGCTGAGACAAATGCTGGGACCTCTTCTTCGTCTAGGTACTGATCAATGCGATCTAATGATACTTGAGTCGACAGTAGCATGGCAAGGAAAGCTGGGATAACGTTCATAGGTCTGTGATCAATGGCGTTAGTTATTTATTTGATTCACGTTGGAGTGAACGAACGTTTTGATCATTGAGAATATTTGAATCGCGGTGAATGCAACAGATACTGTGAGATGGTGGCCCGTATACACGTAAAGTGCAAAGGAAATGATGGACACAAGGACAGGAGCCAAGCCCCAAGTGAGACTGAAACCGATAGAGTTTATAACGCCTATGAGCACGGTAAGACTTGAAATATGCTGTTATGCAACACAGACGAACCCTTGATAATCAACTTTAGTTCCACTCCACGCGCAGCAAGACACTTCTCGATCCATTCTACAATACTGGTTAGAGTAGCCTATCTCAAGGGACGACACTTACTATCCTCGCTGGCACCAAACTTGATAAACTTTGCTTCAGAAACCAACTCGTTGAGGACCTTCATGCGCTTGTCCCGGGCCTCCTGGACCGCCCTTTGTATCTCCCTACCTCGACGCATCAAGTAGTTGTTGAGAGGGGAACCGATGATAAGGACCACGAATCCTGCGAACCCGCTAAAGCCTAGAAGTCTACGACGCGTTTCAACACAGATGGGCCCTAGTGACCGATTACCCACTGGTAAAGGAAGATTGATCCAATGACGAGCTCCAGAGGTGCAGCCTAAACAACAGTTAGACTTCTGCGAAAGGAATAAAGACTTGACGACGTACGTAAAGCATGGTGAATGCAAATACAGTCTGAGACACCCGATTCGCATCGTTGCTCATGATGTTGACAAGCTTTCCGATATCTGCCCCAGCCTTCTTGGTATCGTCCTTACTCTTTCCCTTTGCATCGGCATCCCCTTTGCCCTTGACCTTGTCATCAGTAGCCTTTTGAACACTACCAGAAAAGTCCTTGCGCTTCAGGCTCTTCTCGTAGATTGCTGCCATCAACTCGGATCTTATCCTCATCGAAGCCCTCCGTCCATGCCAAAGATGCTGGACATCGGACCGGGCTTTGAGGACCGAAGAGAAGAAGGCGAGGAACGCATAAACGTATGCCTGCCCTCGAATTTCGCGAGGATTGCGTAAGAGTGACATCAAGTGGTGACTGAACAAGTCTGAGTTGCTTAAGAGGACAGGTCCAGCGCCAGATGAGGGTTGAGATACTGCATCGAGGATTTTCTTGAGAAAGAAGGGACTGGCGTAGTTGAAGATGACAGAAGTCAGCGTGAATAGAGCATCGAGGATAAGGTCGAGCGAGTTGGCTTTCCAGAGCTGCTTCAACAGAGACATGCGACGTCTCTTGACCTTGTCTTCTCCTGGTGATCCGAAAGATGGGAGGGTCGACAGCAGTGCTTGAAACTTGATAAAGAGGGGCTTGGAGGAGAGTCCGGGCGACAGCGCCCACACATCCTTTTCCTCCAGCGTACGTCCGGTACCCTATGAAAATATGGATGAGTGCCTTCTTGGAATCGAGTTTGGCGTACCCTCTTCAGGAGTGGATGGACCCACCAGAACGTTATCCAACCCCAGAGTGGAGTGTAGTCCTCTGGTGTGACACTCTTTCCAATCTCCTCGGCGTTGACGCCTGGAGGAGGAACATTCATCGGAAGCGAGAGTGTAGCGAAAAGTAGAACGAACAGGCAGAGGAGGTGTATCAGGATAGCCACCGCCTGTGAGTGGGGTGTAGGGGTTTCAGGGATTCCGTAATTGCCACGAACGTATTCTTTGAATACGTAGGCTCCTACATTGATGATAAGAATGACGAGCATCGAGATGTAGAGTGAGAAGAGGTCGTATGGAGCGGTCAGAACGCGCTTGCGGATGAACAGGGGCCGAATACATGCGTATAGCCACGAAAGCGCCAGCAGTAATCCCTTTGTGAGCTCATAGGTCGGAGGAGTATGGCTCCCATCTCCCGAGGTGTTATCTATGGCGTGATACACGTGAGTAATGAGCCATGTGAGCCAGAATCCAAACTCGACGACTGCTGGTACAACCAGCACGCCTCGTTTCCATTTGGCCTTTTTCTCTGCGTAAGATTTGTCCACTGCTTCATGGTCTTCATGGTTTCCGGCTGCCTCTACTATAGAACCGGTTGGAGAAAGCTGCTGCAATTGGACGGCCTCTTCCAATGGGAGAAAGTCGGAAAATGTCGACGAAAGTGGGCGATAGTTCTTTGGAACAACTTTCTTGTATGTATATCTTGACAGGTTGAACAGGACCACAGAGGCGGGCAGTAAGCCGGTCCACCATGCTCGAATACAATTGTTGCCGAGATCCTGGAGACCATTAACTACTAAGAAATAGTCTGGCAGACCGTTTGACATACAATAGGTGTTCCAGAGCTACAAAGCTCGACAAGCTTCATGAAGAGAGTCGCGGCCGAGTCCAAAGATGCACTTCTGGTAGCGACATTGACGATATCTTCCAAGCAATTTGTGAACAGAAATGTTGTTGCTCGCGATATACTGCACAAATTTGACTAGATTTACTGACTCGCCGCTTGTTTGGCTGCCTTCTCCAGTTTGCTAAAGGTCCCGCTCTTGAGACACATGTCTCTGAACAATCCCCCCTCCTTCCGAATAAGATTCCACGGTGTGTCGAATTCAACAATATTCCCTTTATCCAAGATAAGCTGGGTGGCTGGTCAGCGTAAAGGCAACAGCGTCGGACGAGCGCATACCAGACGGTCATAGTCAATTACGGTTCGTATACGGTGAGCGATGGTGATCAGACACGAATTCTTAAACTCTTCGCGCACTGCAGCTTGAATCTTTGCGTCCGTTTTAAAGTCGATGCTACCGGTTCATGAGGGCATACTCGTTATCATGTCAACCTACATACCTGGATGTGGCTTCGTCGAGGATGACAATGCTGCTTTGACGCAAGAGAGCCCTGATAACGGTAAGCATTCGTGGATGATCAATGTAGAAGTCTGACCTTGCCATCGACATCAACTGTCGCTGTCCCTGACTAAAATTGGCCCCTCGGGCAGAGACGTCAGTGTCCAAATCGACCTTGGAGAGCTTATCGTCCTGGGGTGTGCTCGTCCCCGGTACAGAGGGAGTCTCCTCTGCTTCTTGAGGAGGGGATACGTCCACAACCGACGACGGACGAGTCGAACGACGCGAGGCATATGTTGCCTCTGAGATAAGTCCGACACGATACAATGCATCTAGGCACTCCTCATCTGTATGTTCGGAGAATGGATCCAGGTTCTCTCTATAAAATGCATTAACTACCCGTAGTCAATTCTAGCGTATGACGAACCGGATGGTGCCGGAGAAGAGGACGCTATCTTGAGGAATAAAGGTCTGACCGTCATTAGCAAATACCCACCAACCTTTATGGTCACTTACGACTCGCTTTCTTAGGTCGTGTAATCCAATGTTGCCGATATCAATACCGTCGATGGTAATGTTCCCCTCTGTCGGCTCGACGAAGCGCAGGAGAGACATGGCGAGAGTGGACTTTCCACTGCCTAAAAATGATTAGTCGGAGTACAGTCCACCAGCTAGGGCCACACCCGTTCGTCCGAGAAGTCCAATCTTCTCTCTTGCTTTTACATCAAAGCTGACGCCGTGCAGAACAGCGGGTAAATCAGGTGCATATTTGATGACCAAGTTATTGACGTTCACTATTGCCTCCGAACTCGAGGTGATCGATGGCCAATATGCTGGTGGTCGACTATTCTCGATGACCGCTGGTGGCTCTTGAGGCAATTCCATGTATTCGACGACGCGTTCAACGGAGCTAATGCGCTGTTAGCGAGGAGAACACACAAAGGTTCCAACGTACTTGAGATCTAGCTCTAGTTGAGTCACCATTCTGCATGTCCAATAGACACTTGGAAGCAGGTTAGCTTGAGTGGCTTGCATTGATTCGTAAATAGCCATACCTGCTAGTAAAGTTCATAGCACTGGTGATAGTAAGACCAGCTAGCCAGTCGGATATGAAGCCTCCAAGAACAAGTAAGGTGGTAAGGAGCACCGAGGTTGCGCCAAGCAGATCAAAGTTGAGCAATAACCAGCGATTGAGCATCCAAAAGTTGTAAAAGTATTTGGTCGTGTCATCCACCCGCGTGTGCAGATTTTCGAGGAATCGTCGCTCCGCAGAGAATGCTCGCACAGTCACGATGCCTTCAAAGTCTCACCAAAAGCTGCGAAGATTGGTGAGCGACTTGTGCTATCCAGCCGACGCAGGTCGCGTCCTGTGTCCATATAGCTTTGGCTAAGCTTGTAGTACTGAAAGCGACGAGTCAGAGCATAGCTTCATACCATAAAGTACGTACGCAGAATCCAATGATCGTACCAGGAACTACAAAACCCGGGAAGATGATGACAATAGTCAAGACGGCAGCAATGAAGCCCGCAATCGAGTCAAGGTAGAGCGCAGAGAATACGCCAATGAAGAGTCAATGGTCTCAATATCCTTTGAGAATCGATTGAGAATGCGGCCTATACCGGGGTCAGTGCGAAGAGACTCAAGAGACCAACACTCGCCTGTAGGAGTGGTGTCGAACCAACGCATGGTGGCCCTCATGACCATCTTGAGCAAGTCCGCAAACATTTGCTTGGAGGCCTTGTATGCTCCAATCGACAAAATGATTTGTCCTAGAATGTTGACAAAAACGACACCAATTCCAATACAGGCAAATACGCCAACATAAAACAGTGGATGCTCATTCGCTGAAGGGAAGCGGTCGGTCGGGAATGGATTCTCCGCACTGATGGCGACAGTAGACGTGAATGGGTTGAAAGTGTTATTTGGGTATCGATATGAAGTTGTAATTTGGACGTCGTGGTATGCAAACTCTTGAGCCATTGTCCTGTGGAATGTCGAGAAGTGTACGGCTGGTGACGATTCGGTTGCACTCCCGGCCTACACTCTGATTAGTATCGATATATGAATGGATAGAAACTATGACCTCTCCCCATATCTGCATCCAAAGCTGATAGGAACATGAGAAAACTGTTGTTCAAGCTGGAATGAACCACACCTTTTCCGTAACGCCTCCTAATTGGGACAAGCCAAGAATCATAAGTAGGAAAACCCACGTAAGATATCCCCTATCGATGGTGAGATTTTAAAGAAGATCTGTATCTACTCACGTTGCTACAAGATATGCCTTGTATACCTTCCATTTGACACTACCACGGGCACGAGCCTCAGCCTCGACAAGTTTCTTCGCCTGCTTCTTCTTCGAAGGTGCTGCCTTATTCGAATCACCATCGACTGCTTCTTGTGTGTCCTCGGTAGCAGCTACCGCTAATTCTTCAGCGGTCACGACCTCGGGCTCGGCGTTTGCCTCGGCTTCGTGAACAAAAATCTCGAGACGCCCGTCTGATTGCAAGTCTGTGACAGTTCCTTGAATATCGATCCGACCATCGAGCATGCGAACAAAGTAATGAGCAGATGAAAGTACGAGTTCGACATGATGTGTCACGAGAACCTATAGCCAGCGTCAGGAAGTCAGATTATTCTCCAATAACCAACGTACAACGGTGCGGTTGGCCATAAGAGGACCCCGAAGCAGCTTATCAACCAAATGGCGCGCTGTATGACTGTCCTGCCAATAATGAGGATGAAGCTTCCAGCTGAGGCCAATGCTTACAACTGCGCTAAGAGGATCATCCAAGAGAATGTGCTTGCTCCTAGAGTAGACAGCCCGAGCCAAAGCCACCCTTTAAACTCGTGAGATTTGGGTCCTGGTAGCACAGAGTACGAACCTGGCCTTCTGTCCACCAGAAAGAGAGACACCTCGTGCTCCAATTTCCGTCATATCACCATCTTCAAGAATGTCCAAATCCGGTTTGAGGGCGCATTGTTCAATGACTTGGTCGTATCTCGCCTTCTCAAATGGCGAACCAAACAGAATGTTGTCCCGAATTGTCAGATGCTCGAGCCATGGCGTCTGTGCACAGTACGCAACACTATTACGTAGACCTGTTTCTTGATCTAACTGCGTTGGATGCTTTGGCAAGAAATTAACTGGCTTAGAAGCCCCTTGCTCGACTGGTGTCATCTCGCCGAGGAGCGCCATTAGGAGCGCAGATTTGCCAGAGGCTGCAAAGTTCCATTATTATCAGTTTGTGACAGTGGTCGATTTTGGCATACCTGTGGGTCCGGTCACAAGCGAAAGCTTGCCAGTAGGGAAGATGATGTTGATATCCTGCAGCTCGAATCGAGGCACTTCGACAGCCGTAGCATCTGTATCCTGTCGCTGATGCACATTTCCATTTGTTGCAGTTGGGAGGACTGATTGACTACCGTCTGCCTGGCGCCGTTTCCAAAACTTCCAACTTGCGCTGGATTTTGGCTTCACTGGCGGTTCGACTGCCAGATTCCATCGGAACCAGCCATTCTTGATGCCTAATCTTTCGTCTGAAGTACCTGTTGGCGCTACCACTGCCGTATCGTCCTCTTCTATCAGAGCTGAGACAAATGCTGGAACCTCTTCTTCGTCTAGGTACTGATTAATGCGATCCAATGACACTTGAGTCGACAGTAGCATGGCAAGGAAAGCTGGGATAACGTTCATAGGTCTGTGATCAAAGGCGTTAGTTACTTATTTGATTCACGTTGGAGTGAACGAACGTTTTGATCATTGAGAATATTTGAATCGCGGTGAATGCAACAGATACTGTGAGATGGTGGCCCGTATACACGTAAAGTGCAAAGGAAATGATGGACACAAGGACAGGAGCCAAGCCCCAAGTGAGACTGAAACCGATAGAGTTTATAACGCCTATGAGCACGGTAAGACTTGAAATATGCTGTTATGCAACACAGACGAACCCCTGATAATCAACTTTAGTTCCACTCCACGCGCAGCAAGACACTTCTCGATCCATTCTACAATACTGGTTAGAGTTGCCTATCTCAAGGAACGACACTTACTATCCTCGCTGGCACCAAACTTGATAAACTTTGCTTCAGAGACCAACTCGTTGAGGACCTTCATGCGCTTGTCCCGGGCCTCCTGGACCGCCCTTTGTATCTCCCTACCTCGACGCATCAAGTAGTTGTTGAGAGGGGAGCCGATGATAAGGACCACGAATCCTGCGAACCCGCTAAAGCCTAGAAGTCTACGACACGTTTCAGCACAGATGGGCCCAAGTGACCGATTACCCACTGGTAAAGGAAGATTGATCCAATGACGAGCTCCAGAGGTGCAGCCTAAACAACAGTTAGACTTCTGCGAAAGGAATAAAGACTTGACGACGTACGTAAAGCATGGTGAATGCAGATACAGTCTGAGACACCCGGTTCGCATCGTTGCTCATGATGTTGACAAGCTTTCCGATATCCGCCCCAGCCTTCTTGGTATCGTCCTTACTCTTTCCCTTTGCATCGGCATCTCCTTTGCCCTTGACCTTGTCATCAGTAGCCTTTTGAACACTACCAGAAAAGTCCTTGCGCTTCAGGCTCTTCTCGTAGATTGCTGCCATCAACTCGGATCTTATCCTCGTCGAAGCTCTCCGTGCGTACCAAAGATGCTGGAGATCAGATTGGGCTTTGAGGACCGAGGAGAAGAAGGCGAGGAACGCATAAACATATGCCTGCCCTCGTATTTCGCGAGGATTGCGTAAGAGTGTCATTAAGTGGTGACTGAACGAGTCTGAGTTGCTTAAGAGGACAGGTCCAGCACCAGATGAGGGTTGAGACACCGCATCGAGGATTTTCTTGAGGAAGAAGGGACTGGCGTAGTTGAAGATGACAGAAGTCAGCGTGAGTAGAGCGTCGAGGATAAGGTCGAGCGAGTTGGCTTTCCAGAGCTGCTTCAACAGAGACATGCGACGTTTCGTGACTTTGTCTTCTCCTGGTGATCCGAAAGATGGGAGGGTCGACAGCAGTGCTTGAAACTTGATAAAGAGGGGCTTGGAGGAGAGTCCGGGCGACAGCGCCCACACATCCTTTTCCTCCAGCGTACGTCCGGTACCCTATGAGAATATGGATGAGTGACTTCTTGGAATCGAGTGTGGCGTACCCTCTTCAGGAGTGGATGGACCCACCAGAACGTTATCCAACCCCAGAGTGGAGTGTAGTCCTCTGGTGTGACACTCTTTCCAATCTCCTCGGCGTTGACACCTGGGGGAGGAACATTCATCGGAAGCGAGAGTGTAGCGAAAAGTAGAATGAACAAGCAGAGGAGGTGTATCAGGATAGCCACCGCCTGTGAGTGAGATGTAGGGGTTTCAGGGATTCCGTGCTTGCCACGAACGTATTCTTTGAATAAGTAGGCTCCTACATTGATGACAAGGACGACGAGCATCGAGATGTAGAGCGAGAAGAGGTCGTATGGAGCGGTCAGAACGCGCTTGCGGATGAACAGGGGCCGAATACATGCGTAGAGCCACGAAAGCGCCAGCAGTGACCCCTTTGTGAGCTCATAGGTCGGAGGAGCATGGCTCCCATCTCCCGAGGTGTTATTTATGGCGTGGTACACGTGAGTAATGAGCCATGTGAGCCAGAATCCAAACTCGACGACTGCTGGCAAAACCAGCACGCCTCGGTTCCATTTGGTCTTGTTTTCTGCGTAAGAGTTGTCCACTGCTTCATGGTCTTCATGGTTTCCGGCTGCCTCTACTATAGAACTGGTTGGAGAAAGCTGCTGCAATTGGACGGCCTCTTCCAATGGGAGAAAGTCGGAAAATGTCGACGAAAGTGGGCGATAGTTCTTTGGAACAACTTTCTTGTATGTATATCTTGACAGGTTGAACAGGACCACAGAGGCGGGCAGTAAGCCGGTCCACCATGCTCGAATACAATTGTTGCCGAGATCCTGGAGACCATTAACTACTACAAAATAGTCTGACAGACCGTTTGACATACAATAGGCGTTCCAGAGCTACAAAGCTCGACAAGCCTCATGAAGAGAGTCGCGGTCGAGTCCAAGGATGCACTTCTGGTAAGGACGTCGACGAATGACTGGCGATGGGTTGTTGAACAAATAAACACTTAGATTGACATGCTTCTATTCTTCCTTCGTCCTAATAACTACTCGGCGTGCACTCGGGATGCTGTTTGCAAGGGGATACTCCCATGAATGCATTCACTCGACCATGTAAGCATGCCACCCGAAGGGAACTTGAAATGACTCAAAGGTTCACAGGCAAATGGTGACGCCGATTCCAATTGCCAATATAGGCTTTAGCCTCCCGTTGTCTGTTATACAACAGAGCTAATTTCGTATCTACAATTCTACGTGAATGTTTCGTCTTTGCCATATTTATAAAAAGTTCATTCGCGCGATGAGTATAATCATACCCAAACCAAAAGGAGATGTGACGTGTAATTGCATTCGACAAATCGGATGAGGCTCTGAATGGTAGTTCTATCCGAGTTGAATTCATCCACAGTCAACCCTAGACACTGACCAGACCTGTGGCCACCATACATCGTCTCAATGCACCAAAACGAAATAAATGTCTCATGAACAGCCTCTGGAACCAGGTTTGCCACTGATCCACCGTTGACCATAAAACTTAAGACCCCTTATGAGCAGGATCACGCAAACGACGGCGAGAAAGTTCTGTAGAGAGCTTATCAGAGCCACCAAAGAAGTTGCCCAGGACCGATCCGTCCCCCGTCTCTTCATGCCCCGCAATCGTCGAGTCTTTTTTGCAAGAAGCCGCACTTGATAATGCAGATACATCACCCTATAATGAAATGCAAGAACAGGAGATTATAGAGACCTTTGACCCCGCGAGCGATGCGTTGTTTTACGGATTCGTCCCGGCGACTGGCAATCCGTCATCTCTTCCTCATGTTCACTATGTGGAAGGAGAACAGATGTCGAACGAAGACACCTCGCAGCATATGTCTAGGGAACAGATTCAATTTAGCCAACACTCCCCCACTCTACCCCAGGAGCCCGAGGAGGCGAACAACCCTCCAGACATCGACAGCGAAGACTGGGAGTTTGAGTTCCCTTACTTTACTCTCGATGGCGATGAAGATTGGCTACCACTGGCTACTCTCATCTCTCCCACAGATCAAGACGACATGCCATCACAAGGAGAGGTAGATATCAGAGATTTAGAAGAGATTACTCATGTCAGCGACTCAGAAAAGGATCACTGGAGTGATCTAGAGTAGTAGATATGCTCAACTTTGGCTCCTTTTTTTTGACCATGCAAACCACTGTATTCGTGTAGCATACTTGCTAAATCCCATCATGTATCAACGACGAAGTTTACCGCGCTGAGCCGCTTTATACCTTGCTACTGCTACCGCGTTCGATGCCGCCTCACCGCCGTTACCCGCATTTCTGTTGCCCCTTCTGAGTCCGACTCCTGTGAGAATACTCGATCCCCCAGTATCGTTCTCCCCCTCTTGAGCACCAAGAGATTTCTTTTGTTTCCTCGTTGCCCGCACATTGGCCGTCCCACTGGTATCAGCCGTCGTTCCAGCGTCTGCGTCGAAACTTGCACTCTCGCGCCCTCTCTTCAACGCACGTCGTATAGGAGACCTTGAAAGGCGCCGTTCAGGAGACTTCGGATATCCGTCCTCGTTCATCACTGCTTCAACAATATCTTGGGAGATATTCCTCTTCTTGGTGGTTGAAATCGGGTCAGAGAATGGACGAATCTCATCAGCGTCATGTTCTTCAGAGGATTCCCGGTTCAGGTGAGAGAAAGTGCCTTGATCTTGGCGAGTATCAGTTGTAACGTGCTTGTGCACATGCACAGTAGTCGATGTCGTTGCATCAATGGGTTGTTTCGATCGTTGTTGATCCTGTATCGTTGAGTAAGAAAGTGCCACACACTTACCAGGACGAAATGAGCAAAGAAGAGCTACCGTCTTGTTTATACCGTCGTCCGGCTGGGTAAGAGGCGAGGAGCTCCAGATGTCTTTGGTGGTCATCAATTGACCTGCAGATCGCTAATCACAGTGAAGGCTTATCGTCGGACTGAATCGAGGGCCCCACCTTGTCCAGTTGTGTCGCGAGCTGCTTCTCGAGATCTTGTACCCTCGCTTGCAGCGTCTGAATGATAACATCACGCTGGAGGAGATTGTCAGAGTTTGCCAAGAATGCCTCTGATACGTACTCGTTTGATATCATTTGCCTTCTGAATCGAGTCCCTCTCGCCGATCTGCAAGGTCGACTGGATCACCTCTTTGACGAGTGCGGCCTCCTCAGCGTTCTAACACCAGGAGATTAGTATATACCTAAGTTTGGCCCAGATGTACCAGTCGACCATCTTTGTGACGCTGAACCATCGTGGCTGCTTGCTCCTTGAGAAAAGAGTTGCGTTCTGTGAGCGCCTTGATCTGCATTTGGAGTTCTTTCGTCGTGTTCTCAACCTCTTGAGCAATATTGTGGCTGGCAACGCTTTCTTGCGCTTTCGCAATCTCTGATGCAATGCCTCTCGTGCTTTTGATATCTTCTGCAGCTTGGCTGATACCATGAGTGAGCGTGTCCATTCGTTGTCAACCGTAGCCCATCGCTCATTTGCCTTTTCTAGTTCGTTACGAGCTTGATCGGCCTGGATGAGCTTGGTGTTTTCTTCCTTGAACAGTCGAATGCGCTCATCCCGGTCCTTGAGGGTTGTCTGTAGATCGAACTTTGAAGCCTGATGCGCCAATTGAGCCGCTTGAGCTCTCTCACGCTCTTGTTCTTGGAGGGCAACTAGATTTTCGTTGCTCTGCTGAAGGTTTGTTATAACCGTCATGTTGTTCAGCTCAGCCTTCTGGGACGCTTCCTACTCCGAGTGAGCGTCAAAAGGCGTATACGGATAATCTTACCAGCTGTAAAGTGAGTTTTCTGATCTCTTCCACCAGATTTTCCTAATCCCGAATTAGAACGAGGTTACCTCGAGCAAGCAAAGTACCTTCTGCGTATGTGCCGTGCTCTGGGTAGTGTAAGTAGACTGATAGAGTGCCAAGTGAGTGCGTACTAGTTGCTGAGCATGCAAATCCCCTGATGAACGAAGTTCCTTGATCGTCGCCTCGGAGACACTGAGCTTTCCTTCGAGTGCTTGGATCTTGATTGTACTGGCGTTTCTTGCCTTAATCGACGTATCCTAAGCTCACTCAGTACCGGTGCTAGTAGTAGACGGAAGGAGTACCTCTAACTCTTGGATCCGAGACTTCATTTCCAGCTTCTCGGGGTCATCGTGTAGCTGTGCCTCTAATCTCGCATTTTCAGCCTTGACACGAGCAACCTCGGCTTGTGCGGTAGTCTGGAAAGTCGCATCAAAGGGTGAGATTCAATGGCCAATATCTCTACGCACAAGCGAGTTCGAGTTGGATTTGAGCAGGTCTTGTAGTTTCTCTCTTTCATCAGAAGCGCTTTTCACCAGGCTTTCGTGTTGCCGCTGAGAAACCTGTGAGCGCCCAGTATCTGTGCTCCCTTCATGTATTGAGCCTACCGCTGCCGATTCTTGGAGCTTGTCGATTTCGTCCTATCCCATGACACCTTAACTTTCAACAGAATTGCTAGAGTGAGTACTGACCTGCAGCTTGATGGCATCCTCTCGAGCAGAGCGGTATAATACTTTGTTGTCCTCTAGGCGCTCTTCCGCTCGCTGCTAGCCGTCAGAAGAAGACTCCACTTTTAGCATAAACAAGCCTACCTGGAGCTCTTAATTGTCGCCTCGAGTCTATTTTCTGAGTATTTCGAACGAGCCAAGAGCGAGCACGCACTTTATCAATGAAGAAGAATGTTGAGAGCGAACCAGGTCCAACTCTTGTTCAAGCGTCTCTCTAAACGTTCCTTTTGAGCAGTGCAGCTGACTTGATGTTCTTCATGCTGAGACTCGAAGGAAGCGCAGCGAAGCCGAGCTTCCTCTAGTTGCGTTTGGAGGCTTGCGTTACGTTCGATCTGCTCTTGGCACTACAAGACCTCAGCTCATATCTAATAGCATTGAGTCACACAATACCTGTCAAGCTCTTGGACCTTCGCGTCGTATCGCGTTTGTAGGACGGCGAGTTTCAGGCTTTCTTGGCGGTATACCTCTTGTAATTCGGAGAGACTGATGGATATCAGAACAATTCCACGCACATCTGTCGCGTTACGCTTTCGAGACATGTTCTAGACTGCCAACCTTCTCAATACTCGCGTTGAGAGACGCGTGAAGAGTGTCGATCCTGCAAAGATGAGCAGTGGATTATGAAATCTGCAACGCTCCTCTCGCTGGCGTGCCATGAGGTCGGTCTTCTGCGACTGCACAGTCATCTGCGCTTCGTCGTAACTAGGAAGAGTTAGACCAATGCATTCTATCGGAGCATACTTACCGCTGATGAAGGGCGGCGAGCTCTTTCGTCAGCTCTTCCTCGGCGGCTTGCAGTAGGTGTTCATCTTCGGTAGCTTTCGTGACAGCCCTCCTCGTTGCAAACAGCTCGGATTCTAGTCTAGAGTCAATACCTTTCTATTCACACTTTATGGGATTACGGTGGTTCTATCATCAGAGCGTGTGCTTGAGGGTCGCATCGGCTTTGTGGGAAGCTGTTCTAATTCTGCCGTGCGAGTCTTCGTCGGCCAAATTCGATACCGTCACCTCTAGCTTGTCACGAAGGAAATCCATCATGTTTGGCTAGTGAGATATGAGCAAAATCACGCGATAATGATCAGGCAACTTGCAATCTTCCAACTGGCGCACTAAATCCTCATGAGTTCTGTGCGATGTTGACGTTCTTCCACCAGCTGAGATTCGACTTCTTGTACTCGATTCACCAACTCGGCTTTGAGTTCGTCGACCTGGGGTGCAGTCCTACGAAGTTCGTCGAGACACTGCGCGAGCGACGT